CATTTGTACTCTCTGCTTGGGACACGACTACTTGTTCAGCTGTGTGATTTCGCAACTTGGTTTTATGTATATCGCTCACACTCATATTCCTTGCATATCTTCACACTAGCATCACGAACACCACTCGCTAAGGGTTATGGGTTAAGCCTCCCTAATCTACGTTAGTCTATCTACCCGACTATGGAGCAGCGACAAAACTCTACTCAGTGCGGGGAGTAGTACCCTTGCTCCGAACCCCTAGCACAGAATGGAAGGAGTGCACATCCCCTTACCAAGCCCAGCCGGGGGGGCAAGCCAACTATCTCAACTTGTGAACCTGAATCGTGCCACAGGGGGCCGTGGAGAGTCAAATGGATGACGTGGGGAATTGAACCCACGACCTGCTGAATGCCACTTACGTGCGCTGCCAACTGCGATAGGCCGCTGGCCCTTCCTTCTTCTTCTTCTTCTTCTTCTTCTTCTTCTTCTTCTTCTTCTTCTCACTGCTGCTGCTGCAGTTGGTGGTCTTGTGTTTCTGTCCCTACTTCTTCTTCTTCTTCTTCTTCTTCTTCTTCTTCTTCTTCTTCTTCTTCTTCTCACTGCTGCTGCTGCAGTTGCTGGTCTTGTGTTTCTGTCCCTATTTCTGTTCTGTTGCTGTAAATGCTATTGTTATTTTTATGAACATCCTTGTGGTGGTGGTTATCATTGTTTTGGCATGGTGGTCTTTGCCGTAATAGTCGTCATTTTTGTGCGGTTACAGTGACCTGGTTGTTTGCACATGTTTGAGTCCTTTTGAGAGCTGGAACCAGTTGTTCTGTGAGACTATACTGCAAAATTGCAATGGCACCCAGTGTCTTGGCTTCAGGAGTGTGAGCTCTGCTGAGCTTGGCTGTTTCTACTGTATCCGGTTTTTAAGAAAAAAATGTGCGCGTTTCTCAGTTCTTTGCTTGAGTGTGTCCATGTGTGTGATTCTGTTGAAGTTTTAGGGTGGTGATAAGTCTTATAGGACCTATACTAAGTTACTAACCTCATTTTTGCCTGTACGCCAGCCCGTGTCTCCGCGGAGGTCTAAAGCCGCTGAACCTCCAAAAAGTTGGAACTTCGAGAGACTCATGACCAAAATGTGGTCCATTCGATGATAAGGCTAGGACCGCTAGGTTTTCCGGCAGGCAAAGTAATTCCTGGGAGCGGGGGCAGGAATAGACTGGCAAATTGATCAGGCGCGGCAAGGACTGTCTGCCAAGTCCATCTCAGGATGGGACCGATAAGTTCCAGAAGAGGTACAAGGCCCGGTGCCGTAAGTATGCCGACCACTATGGGGTTGGGTACGTGTAGGTGTAGGTAATGTCCTGTTGGTCCCGGAACACTAAATTGGGCTTTATCATTTTGCCACCAAACAGGAACTGCACCACTCACTTGCAACGGGGGGAGATGCCCCAATCACCAGCACTTGTCGGTAGCAGGCTATTATCAGAACCAAACAGGAAGAGCACTGCTTGCTGGATGTGGTGGAAGAGTGTGGATAGGAGCTGTGCTGCTCAGTGCCCACTGGTTATGGTGGGAGAGGGAATCATTATTTGTGCATGCCTTTCTCGACTGTGAGTCTGTGACAAGCAAACACAAGAGCTGCACTTCTCACCGCTCACTGACTGTGACCGGAGGCGTCATCACTTGTACTTGCATGCAGGTCACGTCATCGCTTGTGGCTGGCCGCAGCAGAGTGTTAGGAAGTCGAAGCTGCACCGTCATGGCATCCTGTGGTGGGAGAGGTGTCACCATCATCTGTGCTTGGCCGCGGTAGACTCTGCAGGAGGGAGCTGTGGCGGGAGTTCCAGGAGTTCCAGAGAGGCTGTTTGGAACCAGGAGTTCCAGAGAGACTATTTGGAACTAGGGAGTTGCAGAGAGAGTATTTGGAACTAGGAGTTGCAGAGGGGCTTTTTTTCTTTTTCTTTTCTTTTCCTTCTTCCTTTTTTAGAAAGGGCGACGGCGTTGAGATATGGTCAGTGAACTGACCGGCCCTAGGTGATTCAGCATTGTAGTGTTTTACTCATTTGCTTCAAGTGGAGTTTGAAATCAGGTCTGCATTTCAACAGTTTAGGGGTGTACCAACTGAGCTGGGCCCGATGGTCCGAGGGACTATTTGGAACCAGGAGTTGTGGTGCGGCAATAATGGCAGGAGGGGTTCAGAGAGACTGATGGAGCAGAAGTTGCAGCACCCTAAACTAAGGCTACTGAAAGGAGGATCCCACTGTTCTTGGCTATGGTGGAAGCCGGAGACAGTGTGTCTAGTTTCTGTGACTTTGAGATAGCTGACCCATAGACCTGCATTGTGATTGTAACTACGCTGACCGACTTTTCGGAAAGAAAAGCATCTGCATTGTCAATGTGGGGTTCAGCGGTTAGTAACCGTTGGTTGCTTTTTTTTTTTTTTTTTGGAACACGAATGGCGTACCTATTCCGGGGGGCCTACAGTCCGGTTGCTTATCACCGGCAAGCAAAGCAGAGAAGGAATGGGAGAACAGTCAGAGGTTTTCGGGGGGTATCGGCACTGGCCTACATTAGGCCAGGGCCGCCTGCAACAGGGGCGGGGGAGGGCGAACTCGGAGTTAGTGGCAATTTTATCATCATGATTGTAGAATTTGAAGAGTAGGAAAGAGGAGCAGGAAGGTGATGAGTACGAGCGTGGGCATCGTGTGTAATACGTCTGCTCAATGTGATCATTTTCTGTGGTTGAATTTTGTCTCTGGTGCGATTGCCACGTTTTTTGAATCATATACCCATCTTCTCTGCTTGGATCTTGTCTCTGGCGCAATCGCCGCGTTCTTGAATTATGTACCAATACATGCGTGCTGTCCTGTGCGCAAAGAGTGAAGGTTCCCTTCCATAATGCTTATCCTTTTTTTTTTTTTTTCTGTCACCCACATCGGTCTTATTCCTCGATTGCTTCTACCTTCCTTTTTCTCACACCAAATTTTTTGTGTGCTGGGCCTGCTGGCAGAGAAAAGCGGAAAAGTTTGAAACCTTCACACTGCTGAAATTCCTGAAAATTTCATGAAATGAAAGCGAAGACAAAGGTAGGCAGCAACAATGCTTGTCTAACAATGCTCGGCTGGACGGTGTGTGCCTGTCTTTTTTGCCCGATGATTGCAGCTCTGGATGACCCTCTCTGGGATCATGGCCCTGCCTTATTGGCTGGTATGTGTGCCAATCCCATCATTTTTTATCCTACATCACTCGCCTTCTTACGAAAGACGAACACACCAACAGGCCTAGCTCAGTTGTTGGTACACACCCATGAACTACTGAAATACGAACTCAAGTTCGAATCCAGATACCATCCGATGAACAGAATAAAATCATTCTGAATTGCCTAGGACTGGCCAGATTTCAACGATGATATCTAGAAGCGATCACCGTTTTGGAAAATGAGAAAAGGCCAAATTTGTGTGTCACACACTACTTTTTCTGCACCGTCTTTCGACTTGTGGGATTAACTGTTCTTTTTGTACACCATTTACTTACTGGCCACTTATGCATCTCTGCGCTTGCTATTCTGAAAGAAAAGAAACTCTACACGCTCGAGCGATCACTAGAATCTTCTATTCGTCCTTCGCAGAGTCGCAGACACATCTAGGGCATGGAAGAACGGATCTTTGCATGGTCCCGGGGGATATTCCCATTTATTTTTTGAGTTCTCAAGCGAGGGTCCCGCCGCGTTCCTACTCTGAGTTTGTATCCTAGGTAACCTAATTTGGTTGACAGGGTTTATCCGCCCTCTTCTCTCTCTCTCTGTTGCAGCCATGATAAGCCATTGGAGATTCAATGCAACGAATATCCATGACCCGTCGGCAGGGCCAAATGCCGGGGGCCTTAGCGCTCATGACTGCTGAGTGCATAGCCATAAAATTCCTCGAACTTGTTTGATTGTCGCACTCTGCCACTCTAGTCGATCATGTGTTGACTTGACTTACTCCGAAGAATGCGCCATTGTCAGCTGTGGATGCGTTCGTAATATCTACTAAATTACTAATAACACAGCAACTGAAAAGGTGATTCGCAAAACAGAAAGGACAACACTTTCACAAATGTTTGTCTTTATTCACAGTATTGCTAGTGTGCAGTGAGTTTGACTGGAGTGAATTACTTATCGGAAGTACATACACAGTAATATTCAAATATGGCTATGGACTAAACCCGTATGCAGTGTATAGCCATGGAGTGATACAGCCATATATAGCTGTATAGCCATATAGCCATACAAGCTGAATGCTTTTGTGGGTGGCTACATGGGCTATATCACATATGCTGTACGGCCATATGGCATATGCCGAGACCTCCACGTAACCTAATGCACAAAGTTATACGGAAATTAAAAGAACACGCATCCAGAGACAACTAGAAGAGAAGTCCTAGTATGAATCTGTTCTCCAAACTTATTCCCTATTCGGTGTATTCGCCATGTCTCGGCTGAGGTTGAAAGCCAATGAAAGGGGAAAAAAAAAGAAGAGGAGAAAGGAAAAAAGAAAAAGAGTCTATGATTTTGAAGATCAGGGTAATGCAGTCGTATTCGTGTTCACCGGCTCTTTCTTGATTCTATGGGTGGTGGTGCATGGCCGTTCTTAGTTGGTGGAGTGATTTGTCTGGTTAATCCCTTTTCTTCTTCTCCTTTTCTCTCTTTCCTCTCTCTATCTCCTCTCCTCTTTTTTTTTCCTTTTTTAAAGTTTTTTTTTTTTTTTTAATAAAAGAACATCGACTGTGGGTGTAGAAGGGGTGCTGATATGAGCAGACACCCATTCTACAAACCCCGCTATTAGATGGCTCTGTTCCATTGGTGGGAAGCTGCACCTGCTGGAAACCGGGTCCAGCGTCCCTTTACATCACATTACAAATGAGCCAAAGTTACAGATTTTGCACATCTTCTACATCTGCATCAGGTGATCCCCCTTATGGAGCACATTCCCAGTTCCCATATTTCTCCGGTGATCGGCCTGAGCACTGCTTCCCGGGCAGATCCGGCAGGAGGAAGTCACCGAGTTCCTCCCTGTATTTCCTTTTTTCTTTTTCTTCCCCCTCCCCTCCCCCCCCATAAAACAGGTCTGTATGGCCCTGGCTCCATTTCCATTCTGGGGAGCATCAGTCCGGTTCCTATTCCACCGGCAAGTCCGAACAAAGTACTACATCGTATCACACACTCAACGCTTCCTTCCGTCTGGCCGAAGGAACCCTGACCAGCATTGATTACTCCAGCATCGTGGAGGATTTACTGTCAGCTTGCCTTACTTCCGCCTTTCCTCTCAGGTCCACTGTATGAACCTGTCAGATAAATGATAAAGAGCAAGAAAGGTAAGAGAAGCTATGGAAGATGACTCTCAGAATTTGCCCTTCAATATTATGTGGCCTGTGATGGATCTTGTCCGTCTGCTGGCTGGGACCTCTGCCTTCTCCACCCTGCTTCTGAGTTGTGCCAGTCTTTCCACCGTATGCGAATGTCGTTTATCTCTGCTACTTTGCCTCCTGCAAGCCACACCTTAGTGAATTTTGCCTTGATTCGTCTCTGTTGCTCCTCGTCATCTGGCATAGAGTGTCCCGTCTTATGACACTTACAAAGAATCTCTGCCTGAATCAAGGTCCTTGTCTCCGCCCATACCTTCTCCCTTGAAGTTGAGAGTCCCTCAATGGTTCTGCACCACCTTTCCTTCCAGATGGCCCACAGCGTTACCTTTCTGATCATTCCGAACCACAATTTCTCTGTCTTGTGGAATTGAGCTGGGATGTTAGTCCATAGATAGGAGGAGTTGGATGGGGTGTTCAGGGAGGGGAGTCGAGAAGAGGGAATCCCAGAGATCCGAGGCCCTCGCCCAATATTCCATCGCCTCTCTACAGCGTATCAGGCAGTGTAGCATATCTTCTGGTTCATTTTCTGAGCATACCGCACATAAATCTGAACTGTTGGGGTCATTCTTACTTCTTCTGATATGCAGCCACTGGTTAACCGGTAGAGCCACGTATGAGATGAGTCATTGGAGGCTTCTGATTTTGACCGGACGGATTGACTTGATTTTTTTCCATGGTATTCGTGGGATCTGACTAGCCGTCCTGAGTCCTGACCTATTAACTTCTGCCATCTGTTCTTGATCGTTGGGTTGGGATCCTTTGTTCTGAGGAGTAAGTTGTATCCCTGTTTGACTGTGTATTCCTGGATTGGTACATTCGTTTTGAGACTTCTGCTTCTGTCTGGTGTCCAAGCCCACTCCGCTGGATCAAATTCCAGGTCTTGAATCGCTGTATCTATTCTGAAGATTGTCTTGGCCATGATCCCAACACTCTTACTTTTCTGAGAACAAAAGGGTTTAGGACTTTTCTTTCCACCTCCTTATTCAGGATAGATTGGAGGCCTTGTGTGGAGGGGGTAATTGGGAAAGAGGTAAATACAGCCAGGGTATCCGACCCTTGCTGTTTGTGGGAAAATTGATAGGTCCTTGAGGGGGTTAAATCCTGCACCCTCGCTCCCCATTCACCCGATTTCCAGGTTGAGGCTTCACTCAACAACACCTTCCAGCCTTCTGGGATGCAGTTAATAATGGATTGTAGATTCTCTCGTCTCGTCGGTGACATCCTTCGAGCTGGGAGGCAAGTTCCTTTTTTTTTTTTTTTTTCTTGTCACCCAGTCCTTTTTCTCCTCGTTCCAGAGATGGATAGCCATCTCCTTCCTCTTGGGTTAAGGGATAGCTGGTGATCACTTTCGTCTCTCACCCACGGATTACCAAACAGGGGTTGCCTCGATATCTCGTCCTTGGATTTGGGTCTGCCCACCTTCTTTGGCATGAGTTACCGCCATATCTGTAGCAATGCAGTCCAATATGGTGTGGGGGGCCTGGCTTCGATTGGACCACTTCCTCTTTGTTGATTTCTGCGCCCTCTACTTGGGCTCCATTCCTTGGTCATTACCCAAAAAAAAAAAAAAAAAAAAAACCACATTCATGTTCACCATCAACCTCTATGCCTGTTGGAGTTTTGGATGGTCTTTTTTTTTTTTTTTTGGATGGTATTGATCAGTGCCGTCAATGAGTTTGAGCCTTGAGGGATGAACGGGTACATTGCATCAGAAAAGCCTTCTCAGGCACAGATTCATGACCCTCTCTTTCCTTCCCCTCCGTCTGTTTCCCTTCCTCCCCTCACACTCCTTCTCCTCCCCTTGCCCCTCTCCCCCCACGGATTCATGGCCCTGATTCAGGTGGGTTCTGAAAGTGGCCAGAAGATGGTTACTATAAGGGGGAAGTATGTTAAGTTTATGTGGAAAAAAAAAATCTAGGCTACCAGCCGGGGCGCCTGGGTCACCTTGTTTGGCCGGGCGGCCTGGCGTTGCAAGGACCAGAGAAGGTCCCAGCACAAAAGAAAGAAAGAAAAAATGTATAAAAAAAAAATTGAAAGAAAACTATGTTACGCAGAAAAACAAAGTTAATAAACTGAACATCTTTTTTTTTTAATAACAACAAAGCAACCATTTTATTGCGAAAAGAGAGGGAAGCCGGGAGTCCCTCCACAAACAACCCAACTGAACAACTTTTGCCGCAAGGTCACATCGAAATTCTTTACCAAATTTAAAATAAAATTTGCAAGGAATATGAGCGAGAGCGATAGACAGAAATCCAAATTGCAGAATCACTCTGTAGTCCAGATAGTCGTGTACCAAGCAGAGAGCACAATGCACCAAGATACCATCCAAATAAGAGGCAATACAATGAACTCAAATGTCAATGCCGACCCTCTCTGGCCACGCCAACATAATATTCAATGTCGCTCCTACTGATTGGCGCCCAGTCCCCAGCCTACACTACTCTGCCTATCTAGCCTATCTATGTTCCAAGATCACATCGAAGTTGAAGACCAATGCAGACCGCCAGCATGCTTCAGGTACGTTTTTCTCTCTCCCCCCCTCATCACACCCTGTCTCACCCACTGCATGCGCCTCCTACCCGAAGACCACCATCGCCATCACCGCGCCTGCGCCAAGCAGCCGGGCTATGGCCGCCGTGCGCCCGCTGCCTCAGCAGCACCCCTCTCTCACCTCCGCGCTCGCGCGCGTCTGGCCTGCAGCGCTAGCGCAGTTGCTCGTGCGCTAATGCAGCAGCGTGGGCACATTGCCCACTCGGGCCAGAATTCCCTGCCCCTAGGCGCTCACTTTCCTTTATGGAAAGTGAGCCCTGCTTGTCATGCCTTGGGCCTGGCTAGGTGAGTTTCCAGTAGCTTCCAGTCAGGCCCCAGTGTCTGCGCCCAGGCCCAGTTTCAGTTACGGGCCTGGGCCCCCGTGCAGTTAGGCACGTCCAGGCAGCCCAGGATGCTCCAAGTGTTTGGTGCAATCTCATTGGCTTGTGGCATGTGTGTGACGAGGGAGCTGCTTTCTCATCGGTCCACGGCTGCTGAGTGACCTCTGAGTGAGTGTGCCCAGGGCCTCAACCGAATGCGCCCTGGCCGCACCTGTCTGACGCAGCTGCTGCTTCTGGACAGAGCCAGGGAAGGATCACCTTGCTCTGTAACCAACTGGCATGCTGCAACTGTCTCATACCCCATATACGAAAAATGGCTAAAGTAGGTCTGATGCAATTATGCAGGCCCGCCTTCATGTAGGGCGGCCGTGAGGCTTGCTGGGGCGTTGAGCCCAGAACGTCTGTGTGCCCCCAAAGGGGCCTTTCGAGGGGTCAATCCTCACAAATTAACTTTTTTTGTTTATTATTTTTGTCCGGGCAAGTGGTCCCGAGCCACTCTGGTAGCCTAGCAAATAGCAAATAATTGAAATAGATTTGATTTGCTTAACAACTTACTTGCAAACTACAACGACCTGACAAGACAAAGCTTATCATGGACTGCTCATGTGAATGGTGAACGCAATGCAGTTATGTGTGATGGTTGCGATAGGAGTTGGAGGTGACAGCTATATTGACACAGTGTGCATCACAACAGGGTAAATTACTAAATAGTAAATTCTCCTTTTTTATTTTCCATTTCCTTTCTGCTTTATCAAGTGTTTTCCTCGATGAACAATCATGCTTGGTCTTCTCAATGCAACAAGGATGGACTACTTCTCTGTTTCNTTATCAAGTGTTTTCCTCGATGAACAATCATGCTTGGTCTTCTCAATGCAACAAGGATGGACTACTTCTCTGTTTCATCAGACGATGCCAAGTGGAACGCTCGCTTGAAGTTTCTTCTCTTTCCACGTCGTGAACCAATGCCATCAAGTGATTGGAAGAGCTGTTATCTCCAAGTCAGCCAGTCCAGGCTTCTTTAAAACCATTTCTTATCTTCATTCAGTCAATTCTTGTTTTGACATTTATTCCAAGGGACTACCTGTATGCTGTCAGTCTCTTTCCCGTCTCCTTTTTGCAGGGGGTGAATCTTCTCTAACAAACAGTTATAACCTCTAACTGCAGGGGATGGATTCAGAGGGCTGGTTGGAACTTCTGTAAGGTCTGCTAAGGACTTGTATGGATTAATCATCACTTTGTAAAATTCCTGTCGCGAATCGCGATATTAAAAGAAAAAAAAAAATCCTGTCGCGGCTGCGAAAAAGGATGCCATAGCTCCCACAGAAGTAATAATAATAGCAACAAGTGCCAACAACTAAAGCCTTGGGTCAAGTTGGGGCGCATATTCGAGTAAGGGGGAACACCTTGCCATCATGAGAACACGTGCTGTTACCTTTATCGCTGCACCAACTGGAGCGAATACTGCAGTAGGGCCCTCCATAGGGTCCGGTACCCAAGTATGCAGTCCCATTTGTGTGGATATTCCCATACAGGGGCCCGTCAAGCAGGCTGCTTTTTGTTAGGAAATGGCCACCCTCCGAGCCCACCGACATGAAAAGTGCTGTTGGGTTTTTTATCTGACATTAATGGTCTTTGGAACTGAATGTCAAGGAGGCTGACTAATGCCGCCCTCGGCTGGGGGCCTCATAGGGTATAGGGGTTTAATTGCAAAGCCGAAAAGGCCTGGCAAGGGCTTACTCATCCCTTATGACTTGCCCTCCATGTGTCCTTGACTCCTCGTGGGATTATGGACTCCGGGTCAGCTAGGATGTACCTGACAACACCTATACTCTTTTTTTCTTTTTTATTTTTGTTATACTGTTCTTACACCAATGGAGAATCTGATGCCCTTCGAATATGTGTGTCAGTATACGAGTGTTGTGTCGCTTGGGCAGGTAGCGACGGTGTAGATTAAGATTAAGGTATCCCTTCGATTGAGGGGGTAAGCGAGCCTTTCAGGTTGTCAATAAGGAAGATCTGAAATATTGCCTTGCCTCGTAGCGAGTGCTGGGGACTCTCCGGACGATTTTGTAAATGTTGGTCCTTTCTTTTTATTGTTCCTGAAGTGGGATTTGAACCCACGCAGCTTGGTTCTTCATCGGGACCACTTTGGTTTTCTGACTTCAGCTATTCCCCAACTTATATACCACAGAACTCTCTCTGCATGCGTTGGCATGGAAGACTCTCCCGGATTGGTGGAGAGAAGTGGGAAGCCTTTGAGTTGGTCGCTGAGTGCTATTTGTCTGTTCCGGCTCTGCTCGCTTTTGTCCCATGTGTGCTTCATATGCCCTACACCTGTTTCTACCTTTAAATTCCTGCTGTGAAACCTGGTGTAGTTTCCACTGAGACCTTCTTCCCCATTCCTTAATCGGCATTGGCTTTTGGAAAGGGGTAGTCTGAGGTACTCCTCTTTGCTGGCTCATTTTTATGTCTCCCTCTGACAGAAATTGCTCTGACCTTAAGGTTCTGTTTCTTTAAAAAAAAAAAAAAAAAAAAAAAAAAAA